AATGCTGATGTGATATACACGGACTTCGCAAAGACTTTCGATAAATGTGACTATGGCGTTATAACACACAAAATGAAGTCAATGGGAATAACCAGTAAAGTAGGACGCTGGATACTTAGTTTTCTGTCAAACAGGACTCAGCGAGTAACAGTCAACCATATAAAATCTAGTCCAAGCGCAGTTAAAAGCTCTGTACCTTAGGGTACAGTCCTTGCACCGCTGCTTTTCCTTATTCTCATATCAGATATAGACAAAAATACAAGTCACAGTTTCATATAATCCTTTGCAGATGACACAAAAATCAGTATGAAAATTACCTTGGCTGAAGACATTGAAAAACTTCAAGCTGATATTAACAAAGTTTTCGACTGGGCATCAGAAAATAACATGATGTTTAACAGTGAAAATTCCAGGTACTCAGGTACGGTAAAATGAGGACCTTAAACATAATACAGGGTACAAAACATAATCAAATGTGCCCATAGTAGGAAAACAGCACATAAAGGATTTGGGAATAATGATGTCTGACGACCTAACGTTTAGGGAGCATAACCAAGCAAATTTTGCGTCAGCCAGAAAAATGATCGGATGGATTACGAGAAGTTTCAAATCCAGGGATCCCATCATAATGGTTGTACTCTTGAAGTCACTGGTGTTGTCCCATCTTGAGTACTGCTCAGTACTCACTTTCCCCTTCAGAGCAGGAGAGATTGCTGAAATAGGGGGAATACATATACGGCACGCATAGACGCGATAAAGCACCTAAATAATTGGGATCGTCTCAAAGCCCTCCAAACGTACTCGCAAGAAAGAAGAAGAGAGAGATATCAAATAATATACACTTGGAAGATACTGGAGGGCCAAGTACCAAATCTACACAGTAAAATAACACCGTACTGGAGTAAACGATATAGAAGAAAATGCAGAATAGACCCAGTGAAGAGCAAGGGTGCCATAGGCACAATCAGAGAACACTGTATAAACATCAGAGGTCCACGGTTGTTCAACACCCTCCCAGCGAGCATAAGAAATATTGCCGGAACAACAGTAGACATCTTCAAGAGGAAACTAGATTGCTTCCTCCAAGGCGTGCCGGACCAACCGGGCTGTGGTGGGTATGTGGGCCTGCGGGTCGCTCCAAGCAACAGCCTAATGGACCAAACTCTCACAAGTCGAGCCTGGCCTCGGGCCGGGCTTGGGGAGTAGAAGAACTCCCAGAACCCTATCAACCAGGTACCAACCAGGTATCAACCATACTCTCACATAGCCCCATCAGAGAGGCAAGAGGAGCAATGGCCTATAGACACCCCCATGTAGTTAGAAGCAATTTTTGTCTGCCATCTACCAAGTCAGGCACCCAGAAAGGTAGGAATCCCAAAACAAACTACAGCTGGTTAAAAATTGCTAACTGAAAGCCGAACGAGCAAGCAGAACTTCCCAATCAGAAAACAAGCAAACAAGCATGACGTCACTACAGCTGCCGCCCTGTTGTCTGAGCAGCTCCCCCTCCTTCCCCCTCAGGAGAGGGAAGGGGAAGCCCCAGACCTGCACCAACTACCCAACCCCAGTTCTGAGTCTGTTGTGTTGAGTGGCAGTAGATCGACTCTGGCTCCATCCTTTGAGCAGTGTTGTGCGTTACGGTGTTCCTCTGCTGTGTGGTGGTGTGCGAGCCAGGTGTAATTCAAGAAGTGCTGGGGCTGCATGCGCTTAGGGTCATCTTCCCTAGGTGCTCTGTAAGTACTGCTCTTGCGGTTGGGGGGTTACCTTCCACAAACTGTTCGGGGACTACCTCCGCAGGGTTCTTTTGTTGCTCGGTTATTGCCCACCCTTGGGGGGTGGGTAATCACCGAGACCAGGCAATCGTGACCTAGTCCCACAATTTGTGGGCCTTTTGGGTCATTTTGAGTCGCCTGTGGTGGCGTTGGGTGGTCCCTCCTCCTTTGCGGAGTTCGGGTCTGGCGGAGCATACCTCCTCTCCTGCTCCCTGTCAGGTCATCTCGGAGTGAGTGCGCTTGGATGTGGTCAAAACGACGACGTCCCTCAGGTGGGTTTCCCATCTGTTTCCAGTCCTGAAATGGGACTGTGCGGACCTACGGTTTATTCTGGACTTGTCCCGTCTGAACCCAGGGGTCTGTTCTCCCTCCTTTGTTTGGCTACTCTGTCCCAGGTCGAGATTCTTTTGGTGCTGGGCGCTTGGATGGTGTTCCCAGACTGGGACATGTATTGGCACGTCCCGATTCTTCCAGGGTTCAGAGACTGGCTCGGTTTTGTGGTGGGGCGTCTCGGTTATCGCTTTCGTTGCCTTCCATTCGGTTTGAACCTGGCACCTTGTGTGTTCACGCGCCTTACCTGGGTTGTAGTTACCCATCTGCATCTGTTAGGTGTTTGGGTGCTGGCCTACCTCGACGACTGGCTGGTGTAGGCTACAGCAAGTTCACGTGTCTGCTCGCCAGGGACTTGGTTCTTTCCCAGCTCACCGGGTTTGGGTTCCTGGTGAACTGGTGGAAGTCTCATCTGGTTCCCTCTCAGCTTCGGACTTGGTTATGTCTTGTGTGAGACTCTCGGACCGCTTCCTTGTCTCTCCCTCCGGTGTCTGCTTCGGCTGCAGTCCCGCCTTCACCTGTTTCTGGGGGCTCTCGGGTCACTCGGTGGTTGCTCGAGGGTTTGTGCAGGAGCCCGAACTTTGCCATGATGGTCTACCCGCTGGGTCGGGTTTGGTTTTGTCGGGTGTTCTGGTTCCTTCAGGGCCGTCCCGTCCGCCTCTCTCACAATCACTGGGGTTTGGCCTCTGGGGGCTTTGCATCGGCTGCTGTGTCGCCGGCTTCCTCTCCGGGTTTTTCGGGGTTCAGTGCCTTGGCACCTACCTGACCCTTCGCTCGATGTGTTCATGGATGGGTCATGTCTTGGCTGGAGCTTTGTGATCAGTGCTCACCAGGCTGGATCGCTGTGCTCGCTGTGAGCATTGATCGAGCTCTTGTAAGGTTCGTTGGTCTTTTTGTTGTTCGCCCCGTTGACGGGGCGATGTGGGGGAGGCTCGCGCTGTTCTCGCCTGGTCCTACGATTTGTGGGCATTTTGTGTTGTTTTCTCTGGCCTACGATGGCGTTGGATGGCTCCTCCTCCTTTGGTGGGTTCAGGGCTGGCGAGACAGGCCTCTTCTCCTGCACTCTGGCGGGTCATCCTGGAGTGGGTAGGCTTGGGTGTGGTTGAAATGATGTTGTCCCTCTGGTATGTTTCCTGCCTGTTTCCAGTTCTGAAATGGGACTGTGCAGATCTGAGGTTCATTCTGGACTTGTCTTCTCTGAACCCCTGGGTCTTTTGCCCCTCCTTTCCGATGACTACTCAGTCCCAGTTCCGACTGCTTTTGGAGCTGGGTGCTTGGATGTTGTCCCTGGACCTCCGGGATGCGTATTGACATGTCCTGATTCATCCGGGGTTCCGAGAATAGCTTGGTTTTTTGGTGGGGTGGTGTGCTTATTGCTTTTGTTGCCTTCCATTTGGCTTGAATCTGGCACCTCACATTTTTACATGATAGGACACTGGGTTCTGTCCCTGGGGGCCTTGCGTTGGCTGCTGTATCGCTGGCTTCCTCTTCGGGTTTTTCTGGGGTTCAGTGCCGTGGTACCTACCCAAGCCCTTGCTCAATATGTTCACGGATGGATCGTGTCTTGGCTGGGGCTTTGTGGTCAGTGCTCCCCAGGCTGGCCACAGTCAGTGAGTCTGTCCTTCCGTCAGGCTCACAGCACGGTGCGGGAGTTCACGGCAATATGGCTTTCGCTTCAGAGGGTTTGCATCGCCCGAGGATCGACAATCCTGCTCAATTCAGACTCCTCCCCAGTGGTTCACTGTCTGAACAACGGGGGGGTTCTATGCGGTCCTTGGCTTTTCGGGTCTGGTCGCTTCAGGGGTGACTTGTGTGCTGAGTTCTCGGGGTTTTGTTCTCCCTGGCGGTTCATATCCAGGGTGTGTCCAACGTCCTGGCAGACAGCCTGTCCCGGTTCATTCCCCTGTCCAGAGAATGGACAGTTGATGCCAACTTATTCCGTTGGCTCTGCTGGACGTTTGGGCACCCGGAGGTGGACTTCTTTGCGACGACCTGGTCGAGGCATTTTCCTGTATATGCAGCACCCATCCTCGCCTACGAGGCCGTTGGGGGTCACTGCGTTTCGACTAGACCAGTTGAGGCGGGGTTACCTATACTCTTTCCCCTGGTTCTGTTGTTGCTCCGGGTCCTGGCTCGCTTGGTGACCTACCAGGGTAGAGTAATCCTGTTTTTCCCCTTGTGGGCGGCCAGTCTTGGTTTCAGGCCCTGGTTGTTTGGTGTCCGAACCGGAGGGTCTTCCTGCAGCTCCGCCTCTTTCAGCAGATCAGATTTTCACCAGATCACCTGAGCGGTCTCCTCCAACCCTCGACAAGGTGGAGCTCGTTCGTTTCTAACGAGCGGGCGTCCTAGTGGGATGATGATTGACTTGTTTCATAGTTTTCTTTTGGGGTGAAGTTCTGTGGCTCTGTTTGGATGTAAGTTACAAATTTAACCAGTTAAAGGTTTGTATTGTTTCACCTACCTTTTTGTTTGTATCTCTGGTCGATGGCAGACATGACAAACTCTAAATGTAGAATGCTCATATAGCCATTGCTCCCTGTGCCTCTCTGAGGGGACCAGGTTCTGGCACTGGTCTCGGGTAGGCACTCGAACTCCAGGGGCTGATGGCACCAAATTAATATGGGACATGTCAGTTTGAGAGCTTCAGGGAGCCTCCGGGGCTCGGCCAGAAAATGGCATTTCATTACATTCAACGCTGGTTTTATTCAGTTTTCATCAAAATTTATTCTTGTTTATCATGCAACAAAGTTTATATAGCCAGTGTATAATGCCAAATGAATTCATTTAACATTAACAGGGAAAATGTTAGTCAATTATGAGGAAAAAGTGCTAAGCTAGTATGTCTATGAAGCACTGTGAAAGGATATGAGGAAAAAAAATTAACAGGGAATATTTCAGATTCCTCTTGAAGTTCGTCGGTCTGTTGGGGGCAAAGGCTTAGAATGTGTGGTATGTGGTAAGATATTCAACCGCCTCCTTAAACTTAAACAACACCATCGGACTCACACTGGAGAGCGACCCTGGGGCTGTAGCAACTGTGGCAAGACTTTCAGTACTACATCCTACCTCCAGAAACATCGCCTTACTTGTCATGTACCTTCTCATCAACGACAGTTTTCATGCTGTAAGTAACTTGTTTTGGATACAATTATTATTTATTCTCACTTGCAATATAATATATTTTACATGACTAGAGAGCAAATGCACCTGATTAAACATCATCCATCACCCATTCCTTACCAGATTTTAATAATACAATACTTGTAATCATTTCTCAGTTGATTTATATTTTTATCAGTGTTTTCCAAGTATTTTGTATGGAGAGCCCCTCCAGCTCCCTGGAGCTTACCGGGCTGATATACATATATTAGACCGTGACAGCAGTCCTTCGAATGGAGTAATAATGCTTACCAGGGACCACGAGCCAGAACCTGGCCCCCTCAGAGAGGCAAAGGGAGCAATGGCTTATAGAAACCCCCGTGTGGTTGGAAGCATTCTATATCTGCCATCAATCGGGTTAGGCACCCAGAAAGGTAGGCATTCCAAAACAGACTCAACTGGTGAAATTACTACCGAAAACTGAACTGCTAAGCAGAACTCCCCAATCTGAAAACAAGCAAACAAGCATGACGTCACACCGGACGCCTCGCTGCCTGTCTGAGCAGATTCCCCCAAATTGGAAGAGGGATGAGGGGGGCTCCAGACCCCCTTGCCGGCTATCCAACCTCAGTTCTGAGGCTGTTGTGCTTGGTGGCAGTCGTTTGACTCTGGCTGCAGACTCGGTGCAGTGCTGTGCCCTTGCGGTGTTGTTCTGCTGTGTTGTGGTGTGCGAGCCAGAAGTAATTCATGAAGTACTGGGGCTGCACGCACTTAGGGCTCCCTTCCCAAGGTGCCCTGTAAGTACTGCCCTTGCAGTTTAGGGTTCTCTTTCATAAGCTGTTCGGGAACTACCTCCGTAGGGATCTATTGCTGCTTGGTGATTGCTTGCCTTTGGGGTCAGCGGGGGTTTTTATACCCGCTATTTGACCTTGGATAGGAGATAGTATTGTCGCTGGTAGGGGTGCAAGGTACTGTGCAGCTTGTGTGACATTGATACATAGCAGGTGGTTCTGTTCCTCCTGGGGACATTGTGCTTCTGCAGGGTTTTTCTTTTTCTTTGATGCCTGGTTGGGATCTGCCCCTTGGTTATTGTCCACTCTCTGTTCTTTTGGTGGTTCCCCGTTATGTTCCCGTTATTGTACACGTCACAGGGGTTCAGCTTTAATTGCTCTCGCGGTAGTTTGGGCCAACCGGTTAGTACCTTGCCTGGGCTTTACTTAGCAGTCAGCTAAGGGCCAAGGAAAACCCCACTGGGGCTCATTTGTCCAGTGGATGCATCCTCTGGGTTCCATCTCACCTTGTGCATATTCAAGGGTTGCTTTGTCCCATTGTCTCAGATTGACATTCACTGTGTTTACCTCCATCATGCTGCCAGTTAGGTCAGTGACACCTTTGACCCTGAGTCCTGCGAGTGGTGTTCCTTGCTGGTGCTCCAGTTCATCCAGTCCACTGATACTGATAATTGGGTGCAGGCAGCTTCGCCGTTGCATGCATGGTTTAGGTTGCTGCAACACGCTAAGTTGGTTGCCTTTCCGGATGCTCCGAGGCTGCCCTGCTTTGGTTATTGGGACCCGGACTTGGCGCCGTTAGTCACTTCGACTTTGGTTTCGTACGTGCTCCCTTGTCCTTCTCCCTGTTGTTATTTGTCCTCCTCCCCCATCCTTCCCCCTGCTGCTAGTTCCCAAACATCTGAGGGTTTTGGAGTTGGGGCAGGGTTTAGATGGTGTTGAGACTTGGGCAGTTTTGGGAGCTGCCCCGTCCGGTACGGTGACAGAGGCATTCAAGCTTGTTCCTCCAGTTGGGGCTTCGGGGTTCTTTGTAGTTCCAGTAGTTCTTTGCTTCGGGGTCTGACCAGCAGACCCACTCTTTTCCCAGCTTTTCCGGTTGACGGCCTTTTCATTAGAGGCGGAGGGTATGGAGGAAGGCTCTGCCCCGGGTCCTAGCATGGAGGATCCCATGGCTGAGGTGGGGCTGACTTGGGGTGAGGGGCTTGGGCCCTGTTTGACCCCACTTGGGTGTTGGTACCCTCGGTGCAGAACTTGCTGTTGCAGGGGAGAGGGGTTTTCTTACCCCCCCACCCCCCCCCACCTCCCTGTACGAATTTGATATGAGTTCTGCTTCTCAGAACCAAACCCGAACCCGGGTTCGGTTCTGGGTTCCCTTGGGTTCTTTGGTCTCTTTTAGAGGTTTTAGCCTTCCGTGTCACACCTAAGATGGTTTGGGAGGCCATTGCGGCATACCTCATCCGTGACCCGGATTTTGCTTTGATTATGTACCCTTTTTCCCTTTCTCGTTTGAGTTCGGTTATACTTTTCCTTATTGGTATGTGTTACAAGGTGCTGGAGTCATCCTGGTTAGCAAACTGTCCTTTCTTTTCTTGGAGGGTGTGGCACTCGTTCTGTCGGTCCCCGCACGCTTGAATGGTAGGAAATCTTTATGGTGGTTCAGGTTTACCTGGTGGGGGGGGGGGCAAGTTGGAGCACCTCAATGCATGTTTGTTCGCCCCCGTTATTGGGGGCGAACTTTATAACTTTATATTGGCCACGTACAGCTTCACATGCAGGTTCCTGTCCTTTCAGCATCCCTAGTAGCTGAGGATTTTCTCGCCCGGTGGCACTTGGCTTCAGTTTTGTGTTTCTTTTCCCTGATCAAGCTGTCTTCGGACTGGCTCGAGGAGGATGTGGAGGCACTGGTTGCTGGGCCGGTCCCATCTGGTGTCTGGTGCTCTTGCCTCGGTGGCTTGGGCGTCGGCTGCCTTGTTGAAGTTGTTTGCGCCGATTCTGAGGGAGGCGGTGTCTCTGTTCTTTGCTTCTCGTCTCGCGTGCTGGCAGGCTGCGCTCGCTGACGTGCTCGCTCACTCCTTGGAATCTGCATAGGTCCTGGTTCTTAGGATTTCGTCGCACTTTTGTCCATTGCTGTTTGCAGATTCTGCAGTACAGCATCTGCAGGTGGTTTTGTCTAGCTGTTGCCATATGTCTGACTTACTGGTTATTTGAGGTGGCCATGGGGGTCTTTCCCGGAAGGGTCATGCCATGATTCAGGTTTCCTTCAGTCGTGGTAGGTCAGTGGTGCCAGTTTCAGAACTGACATTGCCTTCGGAGCCGGCTGCGTCTGGTCGGCTCGATGATTGCCCTGTGCGTCGGTCGGATTCTCATAAGGGGTGTTGGCTCTTTTGCGGGTCGATGGAGGGGCAGGGGAGGCTCGCACTGTTTTCTCGCCCCTGGTCTCACAATTTGTGGGCATTTCGGGTCATTTCTTTCAGCTTGCAGTAGCGTTGGGTGGTTCCTCCTCCTTCAGGGGATTCGGGTTCACAGGGCAGACCTCTTCTCCTGGACTCTATCAGGTCATCTTGGAGTGAGGTGCGCTTGGGTGTGGGTTGTGTCCTCCTTCATCCCACCCTCAGGTGGGTTTCCCGCCTGTTTTCATTCCCGAAACGGGACTGTTGATCTGAGGTCATCTGAACCCCTGGGTCTTTTGCCCCTCCTTTCGGATGACTACTCTCTCCCAGGTCGAGCTTTTTTTGGAGCCGGTTGCTTGGATGGTGTCTCTGAACCTCCAAGACGTGTATTGACACATCCTGATTCATCCGGGGTTCAGGGATCGGGTTTTTCTTGGGGCGATACGCTTACCGGAACAACCGTGGACATCTTCAAGAGGAAACTAGATTTATTCCTCCAAGGAGTGCCGGACCAACCGGGCTGTGGTGGGTATGTGGGCCTGCGGGCCGCTCCAAGCAACAGCCTAGTGGACCAAACTCTCACAAGTCAAGCCTGGCCTTGGGCCGGGCTTGGGGAGTAGAAGAGCTCCCAGAACCCCATCAACCAGGTATCAACCGCTTTTGTTGCCTTCCATTCGGCTTGAATCTGGCACCTCATGAATCTGGCACCTCAAATTGTGGTGACCTGCTTGCGTCTGTTAGGTGTTCGGGTTGTGGCCTACTTCGATGACTGGCTGGTGTTGGCTCCCAGCCGGTCTGCGTGTCTGCTCGCCAGGGACTTGGTTCTTTTCCAGCTCGTCAGGTTCGGGTTCTTGGTGAAATGGAGGAATTCCCATCTGGTTCCCTCTCAGTTCAGACTTGGCTGGGTTTCTGTGGGTCTCTCGGACCGCTTCCTTGTTTCTCCCTCTGACGTCATTGCTGCAGAAGGAAGGAGCCCACCACCCCTGGCTGACGTGGTGGGCATAGGTCACAAAACCCCAACTGAGAGACAAGGCATCTGTGAACACATAGAGAGAGAGGGCTTGGGTAGGCGCCAAGGCACTGAACCCCCAAAAAACCCAAAGAGGAAGCCGGTAACACAGCAACCGACGCAATTCCCCTGGAGGCTAACCCAGCAGTCACGAGAGAGGCAGATGGGATGGCCCCGAAGGAACTAGAACAGACGCTGAACCCAGACCCGACCCGGCAGGTAAACTAGCATGGTGAAGTTCATACTCCCACACAACTGTTCAAGCAACGGCTTACCACATCCCGAACCTCCTTAGGCAGGATGTGGTAAGCTGAAAACCACCAAAAAGAAGGGACCATAAAACCCAAGGGAATCTGGAACCGAACCCGGGGAGGAGCAGAACTCATATCAAATTCATACAGGGAGGAGGGAGGGGGGGGGGGGAATAAGAAAACACCTTCCCCTGGAACAAGAAGCCATAACAATGTGATAACATCATGCTTGTTTGCTACTTTTTGCTTGGGGTGTTCTGTCCACTCGTTCGGCTTTCGGTAGCAATAGTTTCACCAGAATAGAGGTTTGTTTTGGGGCACCTACCTTTTTGGGTGCCAGGCCCAGTCGATGGCAGACATAGAATGCTCCCAACCACACGGGGGTTTCTATAGGTCATTGCTCCTCGTAGTTCTCTGAGGGGGGCCAAGGTTCTGGCTCATGGTCCCTGGTAGCAAAGAACTCCATGCACATTGACTGATGCCAGAAAGTTGTACATATCCATATCAGCCTAGATAGCTCCAGGGAGCCTTCGGGGACTCACCCAGAAAATGGCATTTTATTACATTCAATGCTGGTTTTCTGGGGG